CGCGTATTCTTTAAATTCTATCAACAGCATTGAAATTGCGATTGTTTTTTTTATGTGCTGCTATTTTAATTGGTATATTTCTCATTAAGACTCAATTATTGGTGTGGCTCTTGAGTAGAGGCGGCGGCAAGTGGTGCTGTTAGTTGCAGGTTCGAACCCTACTACAGGAATTTTTTTTTTTAATTTATCTTTTTTACTCCTAAAGCAAACGAGCGCGTAGCGCGCGCTGTATTTGTTTTTGGAATAAGATGCAATATTCATTTATAAATTAATTATGAGCGCATTCTACCTCCCTGGGCTGATCTGCGGGATCTTATCTTCCTTGTATTAAATTATCTCTTAAACTATTTAGCAAGAAGATGGGAGTTTTAGTCTGTATACGAGTTTGTACATATATGGTAGCATATATTAAGCATATCATATGTTAACTTAAACTGGCCAACTTTCTTGACTGGCTTTTAGTTTAGGTTTTTGCTAATACATTTAAAATGTAAAAGCACTGTGCGTAGAACTTTTGTACTAAAATATAAATATATGTGAAGCTCGAAATTCATGAGATGAATCATAATATTTTGTATATAAATATAACAAAATACCAGAACTCAGGTTTCGATCGAGAATTCCTATGGCATCTTTTACAAAATTAATGTGCTATCAAGACAGTTTTTAAAACAGAGCTCTCATTGCATAGTAACATTCATAAAATTTTGAGGACAAGAAATATTTCGGACAGATTTTTGTACACTTTTCAAGGAATCATATTTTAGTTAAAAGTGAAGTGATAGCAATATTATGCGCCATTAATAAAAATGTGTTCTGCCCGTATATAAGTAGCTTCCGTGACGGCGATACAAAGGCTTTCACCCTAGAAATAATTCAGCTGATATTATTTCTTATGTTTCAACTTGTTCGTATATTTGTTGTATATTACGAGAAGCAGGCAGACCCGAATTGGTCTGTGCTTATTATTTAATTACAAGAGTCTAACAAAGGTAAGCGAACCCGAATTGGAACGTGCCGATTGCAGCAATACGACAATTGATTTGATATTAATTAATGCACGAAGCGAACGAAATTAACTAGATCGGTGCGTACATCGAGGCTTTAGCATAAGTTAATGCTAGGGCAATAAATAATTGTTACAGTGAAGAGCGCCAGATCAGTGTAAGCAATGATAGGAGAGAAATTTAAGTAGTTGCTTCGCAGAGCACCGTAATAAGTAAGATTCTGCTCTTATCAGTTGCGAGGCCGCTTTAGCTGTTTTGGTTGCGTAGCCGGTGGAGTTTAAATTCTTATTTCTCTCTTATAGAAAAATAGTCCATAAAAGTCACTGCCCGAGACTTTAAAGGTCAGTCAATCGTTCTTTGGGAAGTTCCGCCATTATATGCTCTACTAATTGAGGCTTGACACGAAAGCATCTCACACATTTTCCAACTAATTTAGATACGGACTTCCTTCCACCAATCGGCTAATGCTGCAACCGAATATGAGATAAAAGTGCCCGTGGACCAGCGAATAAGTTCCGCTTGTGAAATTTTGTGATTAGTTAATCTGTGATGGGATGGTGCCGCGGAAGAAATATTGGATGGAGAGCTTCGAAACCCAGCGAAGAGTTTTCTAGGCGACTATCTAGACTAAGGATGCCGATTTCATCCAAACAAGGGTTAAGTGATGCGATACAACTGGATAGCTTAACAACTCTGCTCAATCGCAAGGTTTTAACATCTTCCCACAAGTATGCTCTATGGACAAGCAGCAGTAAGAGTTGGGTGCCATGTTGTACATCAGACACTGTTAGTCCAGGATGCCTGATTCTATGTATAAATTTATAAACATATGCGAATATACGCTGCATTTTATCAAAAGAGTTAACGTATTTAGAAGTGGCAGATATATCAACGAAGGGAGATGACGGAGCAAGGACATTTTTCCTTCATTCGAGCTTTGGGGTCTTTGGCAAGCAAGAAGCCGGCCAGTGCAATTTGTTTAGAAATAGAAATTTTGCGGCATTGAACCAGAATTACGATTGACTTAATTCAGTTGGTGTAGATCCTCTCGGGAGTAGATCTGCGGATTAAGTGGAGTGGGAACGTAGCGCCATTCCATGCCATTAGTTAGCTCTTGAACTGCTGTGACACGATTAGTTACAAACATATTGAGCTTGTAAGGTTCGGTCTTTACCCAGCAAAACATACAGAAGCATCCGACCAGCAGTAGAATTTTTCATCGAAAAGTTCCATTCTAGATAATTCACGGATGATATTAATAAGAAGAGCCATTGAGCTCCAGCTTTGGAACTCTTATTGTTTTTAGAGGAAAATGACGTAGATACAGGCCCCATACGCTTCGTTGCTGTCATCGCTGAAATCGTGAACTTCTAACTCTGCTGCAATTATTGACTCGAGCCGAGGAAATTTAAAAAACAGTGCTTTCTCAAAACTGCAGCAAAGATCATGCAAAGCTGATGCTAATATTGACCAATCGAGTTTCTCCTTCCAGATCTGCTGCGAGAAGATTTTTAGCTTTAGCGATTACCGGCCCTATAGGTCCAAGCGGGTCATACAAGCGAGCTTGAACTTGAACTTAAACACCACTTACCAGCTATCTGATTAAGAATTTCCTTCACTTCTTGAATCGAAATGAGGTCTGAAATGAGGTCGTCAACGTAGAAGAGACGCCGCAGAATCCGAGATCCAATTGGGCAGTTAATTTCCTCATCCAAAGACAACTGATGCATAACGCGGACAGAGAGAATAGATGCTGGGTTTGTTCCATATGTAACTGTATCCAGCTTAAAAAGCTTGACATTCTGTTCTGGCGAGTCCCTCCGTAGAATGCATTGGAGAAAATCGTCTGGTCTTGTAACGCGTACGCAGCTATATAATTTTCGAATATCTCCTTTTAGGGCGACCGGGAACGTAGAAAGCGAAGAAACAACGAGCTCTGAGTAACAGGACTAGCCATCAACAGTTCAGATCAATAGTGAGGGAGAAAATATTGACAAAGTCCTATGGATTCTGGAGCGACAGGCGACAGCCGACGCAGATCCGCTCAAAAAACAAAAGCTGTCAAGCTATGTAACGTAGCAATAGCTTGCACATAAGTTACGCATGAAAGACCAAAAAACTTTAGAGAGTAACCAAAGCGACAGCAATCGCTTATATGTTCATAAACCACACAAAAACGCAATGTCAGTTTGCAGATATTTTAACTTTATTGCTTTATTGTAAAACAATTAGAGAACAACAAAAGATGAAATTCACGTCGGGGTCACCAAAATGATACGCTATCCAGCTTTTTCAATAGCTTTCACTTATGATTCAATTTATTGTTTATTTGTGGTAAATTACGAGGAGCAGGCAGACCCGAATTAGCCTGTGCTTATTATACCCTGAACCCATTGAAAATGGGTAAAAAGGGTATAATGTATTTGTGTAATGTATGTAACAGGCAGAAGGAAGCATCTCCGACCCCATAAAGTATATATATTCTTGATCAGCATTAACAGTCGATCTAGCCATGTCCGTCTTTTTGTCCGTATGTATGAAGCATAATCTATAAGAGCTAAAGACTTGAAATTTTAGCTGTAGGTCCTCCTAGTGCCGAGTTTGTTTCCGATATTCGATAACTTTTCCCATTTTCAAGTAATCGATAAAAATCGATATCGAAATCCGGTTTTTTGAGCAATTTTGGTAAATCATAAGAGCTAGAGTCACCAAACTTGACATGTAGCATCTAGAATAGTATATATATATCAATCATCTTTCATTTTAAAGCTATCGCCACCACCCCGTTCTCACGACATAGCTATAAATCGGGTAAAAACTTCAATTTGTATTGCCCACCAATATAAGCCACAATTAAATGCAATTGACTTTTTGAGAATACACAAATATTCTATAACACAATAAGATGTACTGCAGAAAATTTCATTAAGATCGGTTAAGAAACAAAAGTTATGTGCGCACGTGTTAGCAGCAGCTAGCGCAAATTCCAAGAATTTCTGTATGCATGTACACACACACATTCATGCGCGTCTGCTTTGAATTCTATCAACAACATTGCAATTGCGATTTTATTGTTTTCTGTGCTGCTATTTTAATTGGTTTTCTTCTCAGTGAGACTCAATTATTGGTGTGGCTGTTGGGTGTAGGCGGCGGCAATTAGTGCAGTATGTAGCGAGTTCGAACCCTACCGATGAAAGTATTTTTTTTTTTGGCTGGTGTGGCGTTGAGTAATGCGGTCAGTTGCGAGCTCGAACCCTGCCAAGGGAATTTTTTTTTTATTAATTTTTAATTACAAGAGTCTTTCAAAGGCAAGCGAACCCGAATTAAAGCGTGGCGATCGTAGCAAAGCGAAAATTGATTTGATATCAATATGTTTGAATAATGCCGATGTGTGCCAAATGCACGAAGCGATCGAAGTTTACTAACTCGACGCGCAGCATCAAGGCTTAAGCATAAGTTAATGCTAGTGCAATAATTGATTGTAATAGCGAAGAGCGCCAGATCAACGTAAAACATGATAAGCGAGAAATTAATGCAGATGCTTCGCAGAGCAACGTTATAAGTAAGATGCTGTTTTGGTCGCGTATCCTCACAAATGGCCGAAATGCCTAAATGCTCACCGGCGCAGCGTTTGCTACAGCGAGTATTTAGACTCCACATGCTAATTTTTATACATCTAAACTGTAACTCTTGCAGGTTGTATGGCTAGAGTAAAAGTTCAATTCTTGTCAATTCTTGATTGATTACGCACTCATGAGCAGTTATTGTCAACCTTCCATCTGAAAACTTTAGGTAACCATGTTTTTAACAATCATTTGATTCTTTAAATTGTTCACAGAGTAATTTCTGCTTTAAAGGGTATCTAATTCTCTGTAACTACTTTATGTCCACAGTATAAGATATGTAATTCAATCTATCATTAAAAGCATTCTTTTCGATTTGAAGTAGATTACAATTAAGAAAAAAGTACATGTTATTATATCTATGTTTCAGATGTGGACACGCTTCCCCACAAAACATTTTTTATATGGAACTAGGCAGACAGAGTGTGCTGGGTTCCGGTGAACTATGGATGGAAACAGAAGATTCCGCAATTGCTAAACATATGCACGATATGATATTAAGGTAAAACAAATTTCTTCGGGGTGCCGAAGAATTAACAATTAACTAACTAACAATTTCAGATATATTGTAGACGATGTGTTTATGTACTTGAACATAAAACTGAGTTCCTAAAAATTTAATGGTTTACCAATTATTCAATTGGGAACAGTGTGTTATGATAGTTTGATAAAAAAAAATATGTATAAATGTAACAAGCATTATGAATCCCACAAATGATGTATTAGGATATGATGTATTATAAAAGAGTTTTTTATGGCAGCTTTTTATCATAGTTATTCGATTCCTGTAATTTTCTTAACAAAAAAAAGAGTCGTGGTAATTTCGTCAGATAAAGTTTATAGTGAACTAAAAGTGTATATAAATGGGCAAGGAGGTAGATGAACGATCAGCATTCTCCCATATATATTACTACTTTATCGGGTAAGGATACTCCTTTTTTGTCGCAACTTTCGTGCCAAATTCACACTTTTTATACCCTGAACCCATTGAAAATGGGTAAAAGGGGTATACTGTATTTGTGCAAATGTATGTAACAGGCAGAAGGAAGCATCTCCGACCCAATAAAATATATATATTCTTGATCAGCATCAATAGCCGAGTCGATCTAGCCATGTCTGTCTGTCTGTCCGTCCGTCCGTCCGTCCGTCTGTCCGTATGTATGAACGCAAGGATTTCAGAACCTATAAGAGCTAGAGACTTTAAATTTTAGTTGTACAGCCTCGGGTAACAAGGTTATAATGTATTTGTGCAAATGTATGTAACAGGCGGAAGGAAGCATATCCGACCCCATAAAGTAAATATATTCTTGATCAGCATCAATAGCCGGGTCGATCTAGCTATGTCCGTCTGTCTGTCCGTCCGTCCGTCCGTATGTATGACCGCAAGGATCTAAGAACCTATAAGAGGTTCTCCTATATTCGATAACTTGCCCGTTTCCAAGTAATCGATAAAAATCGATATCGAAATTCTGTGTTTTGAGTAATTTTGGTATATAATAAAGCTAGAGTCACCAAACTTGACATGTAGCTTCTAGAATAGTATATATATATCAAGTATCTTTCATTTTAAACATATCCCCACCTCCCCGCTTCGACCTCATAGCCATAAATCAAGCAAAAATACCAATTTATGCTGCCCACCAGTATAAGTGACCATTTAAATGCAATTGACTTATTGATAATGCACAAATATTCTATAGTACAATAAGATGAAGAAAATTTCATTAAGATCGGTTAAGAAACACAGAAGTTATTAAATAAAACATGTTGATGCTGGCCTCAAGTTTGGGGCAGCAAGCGCAAACTCCAAAAATTTCATACATGTACACACACACACATTCATACGCATCTGCTTTGAATTCTATCAACAGCATTGCAGTTGCGATTGTATTGTTTCTGTGCTGCTATTTTAATTGGTTTTGTCCTCATTAAGACTGAATTCTTGGTGTGGCTGTTGTTATAAATGTTTATTGTTTTGAATCAAAAATAGCATAGAATTTTATTACAACACAGTGGGCTTAGGCGATATTTCGCCAATCCTAGTAGAGTCCTCAGGCTTTATCGTAGAGAAAAGGCGGCTTTTTTAAATAAGTCCGCATCGTCACGTAGGTAGTCGGGGGACTCTGGGGCGTCTCCTATGTCGTTGTTGGAGGAGGTCCTTGAACGATCTTCTCTTCAGCCTCCTGACTACACACATCCCAGCGAGGTCTCTTGCTACCCGGTTGCAGTGTCGCTGCATGCGTTCGTTGTACCAGTTGGCGAATGCTCCGACTTGGCTGTCTATGGTCTCCACTTTGGGGTCTCTGTGCAAGGTAGAATTTCTGACGAGCCAATCAGCACCGGTAATTCGGCGCAAGGCCAAGTCTTGGAGTGTCTGAATCCGTCTTCGATTTAAACTGTCGGTAAACTGCCCGTTTGCAGCGAAGTGGCAATGGGCTGCTGGGGTTTAGTAGCCAGTTGGCCTTTGCCATATTATAGTGGCGCTGCTTGAGGAGGCCGTCGATGTTTGCCCGAAAGCTAAGCCTCGTATCCAGTACAATTCCAAAATACTTTGCTCTTCTGCCAGGGTGAAGGGGCTGCCACCTATCCAGACTGCTGGAGCCTTGCCACGCCTCAGTGTGTAGTAGACCGCTTGGCACTTCGAGTCATTGAGCTTGATGTTGAACCTGCGTGCCCAGCTCTCAAGCATGTGTTTGTATTCTTTGGTCCCGTCAGTGTCTTCGTATTCGCAGTGGGCTGAATAAAATATTGGCACGTCATCGGCAAATGTGGCCATCAGGTATTTGCCTGGGGTGGCAAACTCGTGTAGGTCATCCGGAGTGGGGATGTCTGCCGTGTATAAAATGTAGAGAAAAGGGTCCAGGGCACCCGCCTTCATTTTGCTCTTACTTTGATGTCGAACTTTCGCTCCGTTAGATAAAAGCGCAGAAGTAGAAAGAGGGGGCGGGAAGACTCATCTTGATTTTCTAGAGCAATCCATCAATCCAGACTCGGTGGAAAGCCTGCTTAACGTCTACAAAGACTCCATAGCTGTAGTCTTTTTCGTCGTAAGCCTTCAGAATATGGTTAATCACTCTGTGAACCTGTTCAACAGCGCCAAGCCTTCCCCTGAACCCAAGTTGGTGATGAGGAAGGATGGCCATGTGATCCATAAGCGTTGCAAGTCGAGAGACAATCAGTCTTTCCCAGACCTTCGACAGGGAAGACTGAAGACAGTAGACTGATCGGCCGATATGACTCAGGGTCATATTCCGGCTTGCCCGACTTATGAATCCACTGGGCAGTGGTAGGGCCTTCAGAGTGGTGTGGCATATTCCATCATGGCCCGGTGCTTTAGCCCTGGGAAGGACTTTGCCAACGTTGATCACCTCCTCCACGCGGATGGGGCCGATAGGTGTTGACAGCTGAAGCGGACTCTTCAACGCTCGGCTCTTCTGAGGAGGCCAGATCGTAACGTGTAAACCGTTCCTCCAGGTGGTTGGCGAACGTATCAGCTTGTTCTTCGGCTGTAAGGCAGCATTTTCCATTGTGGCGAAGAAGGGGAACGGTTCTTTAGGGTTGGCGCTTTAGGTTTTTAGTTGCTCGCCAGAGCGAGTATCCAGAGTCATGCGTATAGTTCATGCTTTCCAACCTTCTAAAAAAATATGCGTCTTTGCGAAGGCCCTCCTTGAGTTGCCGCTCCGCTTTTCGCCACTCCGCCTTGTCCCACGGATGCTGTGTCTTCTTGTACCTGCGTCTGCACCGCCTCTTGATCCTGAGCAGGTTCGCTATGTCTGCGGGCAGCCCGTTGCCAGCATTGTCCAGCCGCCTGGCAACTGGTGGGGAAGTGACTTATGCTGCTGATGCGCGAATCTTTGCGTTGAGCAGTTTAAAGGCGTCCTCTACATCCCGTCCACTGCAGATTACGGTGTTGAGGTGAATACTTTGACTCATCTGTCTCTGGAAGACACCGAGATAAGTGCGTGCGTTGCCTCGGTATTGCGCTGACCACCCTGGCCCTGCTCTCCAGGGTAACTATCAGGGGCAGGTGGTCACTCGGGAGATCCCAATCGTCAGCGATTCAGAGGAACTGATCAGGGATCCCCTGGTCGATGACGAAGTCTATACAAGACGGAGTGCCTCTGCTGCCGTGCGGGTATCTTGTGGGAGAACCTGTGGCCAGTACCTTCGCTTGACGATGCGCTAGGCTGCTATCTAGTTCAAGCCTGCGCACATTGCTGTTTTTGTTATTGCGCCCCACAGCCAGTGATGTGTATTCCAGTTGCTTCCCACCAGATATCTGCTTATATCAGATATCAGCCGAGCTGAGTATGACGTTGAAGTCATCAGTCGACGTCTGCTCTTTTGGTCTGCAGTAGACTGCTCCAAAGTCCACGTTACCAGCATCAGTGGAGACTTTCACAGTCGAATATTGGTTAACACGATTAGTAATACTCAATTGCGGTAAGTGAACCAAGTTACTCCAGACGAGGACGGCGCAGCTGAGCGATTTTGAGTCCAGTGTACAGGGTATGCCTCGAAGCCAAAGATTTTAGCGAAAATAGGACCGTAGGTTCTAGTTTCTGACAGCAGAATTGTTCCGATGGCGTGTTTTTTGGGGCTCCCGCACGCTTTTTATATTCGGTGAACCACTCGCAGCCCTTATAGTTGGCAGGGTGGTTACCACCGCAGTGGGCGCATGTTGCCGGAACTGAGTCGGGCCATGTGCAGTCAGCAGTGCCACATCCTGGCTTCTTCGAGCAGTCTAAACCTTGACCATCTGCTTGCACAGCTTCCTGATGGTAAGAGCCTCCTTGTTGTTGGCCGCCGGCTGCAAGTTAATGAAGTGAATATTCACATCATTGGCTAGGAGTCGCATAGTCCTACCTAGGTTGGATTTGTTGGTGAGACTATCCAGGTCCACAACTTCGGATAGATTAGGACGATGGATGGTGGCTTCTTTCCTCCAGTGGGGGCATTATTGTTGGCCCTTTTTTCGGGCACGGGGGCGGTGGTGCTGGCATGGGCGACAGCGTTGGGCTGGCTGCCGCCCCAATACCTGAGGAGTCGCTGAGGCAGGCCTGAGTTTACCTTGGGCTGAGTTTACCTGCTCGGCCTTGGATTCGTTAGTCTCCATGTCTTCGTCGTTATCGGGTGGTGCCAAGAGAGCATATCTATTGGAAGCATGTGTGCGAACTGGAGTGGTGTCAGTCTTGATCTGTTTTCACCCCACCAAGTGGGGACCTGCTGTCTAAGACTTTGTGTCTATCGTTTTATTTTTCGCCTGTGATTTAATCAGTCGAGCCACGGCTAAGGCCGTTTTATGGCTTACGATATCAAGTATATTTGCAAGTGGTCAATGTCTGTATTCGCGCTAGCATTAGCATGTGGGCTGCTGCCGGGGTCTTGGGTATCCAATAAAGGGTAAGAAGGTGAAACTTCTTGCAGACATCAGCGCGGAGAATTTATTGGCAGCTGTTGCTAAGCTGCTGTTAACCATTGAGGTGCTCGGCGGCGTAGCGGCGTCAGCATTTAGTTGGCCTACCTTATTAGTTCCCTTATTACTCATTGTGGTAGCGTTGCTGTTCTCAGCACTCACTGGAATGGTGGCTCTATTGCCATTGATGCCAATTTTTGATGCGTTGCAATCTTTTTGCGGGATTGCAATAGCCGCGTTTGGGCGTGCACTCGAATTTTGAATTTTAATTTTGTTTCGCGAGTGCGTCCGTTCACTTCGAACACCAAAAAGTGGCCAAATTGAATTTATAGGTTTAAATTGTGGCAAAAACTGATGGGCAAAACAAGTTGGATTATTAACTTGATTTATAGCTATGAGGTAGTAGCGGGAATGTGGTGATACCTATAAAATGAAAGATTATTGATATATATATACTATTCTAGAAACTACATGTCAAGTTTGGTGAATCTAGCTCTTATTATTTATCAAACTTTCGCAAAAAACGGGCAAGTTATCGAATATCGGAAGCAAACTTCATCTGCGCGGGCACTAGGAGGACCTACAGCTAAAATTTCAAGTCTCTAGCTCTTATAGGTTCTGAGATCCTTGCGTTCATACATACGGACGGACGGACGGCCGGAAGAACAGACAGCCGGACATGGCTAGATCGACTCGGCTTGTTGATGCTGATCAAGAATATATATACTTTATGGGGTTGGAGATGCTTTCTTCTACCAGTCACATACATTTGCACAAATACAGTATTCCCTTTTTACCCATTTTCAAGTTTCGGGTTCAGGGAATAAAAATGGAAACAATAAACAAATCATTTTGTGCAAAAAATGGGAAAAAGATTTTTTTAAATTAAATAGTTTACGCAGAATATATTCAAATTAAAAAATGGTGAGTGTGGTTGGAATATTTCAATAATGGGTATTTCACCCATTCCGCCAATGGCAATTATGCGAAGTAGTTGTGTACGGTGCGATTAATATGTTCAAATAATTGTGGTAAAAAGAAAGTTTTATTGTATTGCTGAAAATGTATTTCTACATTGCTTATTGTTTTTTTAATCTTAATGCTTTCCAACTCCTGCCCAACCGACCAAGGGTGCCGTCGTGTAGCGAACGATACAAGTAGCGAAGCACAAAAATTAATACAAACTAAGACTTAAACCTACGACACTCTACTTGTTAATTAGTTATTACTAATCATTACAGATAACCCGAAACGTATCATCCAAGGCATAGTTAGTTAAACGTATAATTACCTGTTAGTAAGAGGGAGAGAAGTTTATTTGGTGGGTGACGTTGGCATCTTGACGAAAGGATCTTTGTCGTGTAACGATCGAGCAGATCGGTAAATTCTCGTATATCGGAAGATAACAGAGTAACAGCGATTTATACAATTTCATATATGTTATACATATATGTATATTCTCGCCTCTGAGAACCCAGGAGGTTTCTTAGACCTCACTGGGTAATCAAGTGGAGCGAGTTCAGGATACCTTAAAACGGATACGGATTATTGATAACATCAAAGACTGCAGAATTGTATAGTTGGGACCAGATAACTTGCAGAATAAGATCGTTGAGACAATAATATGTAGCGTTACGAAACCTACGAATTAAATACGATATTTTAAATCTAATGACAATATCCGAATTTAGATGGAAGAGGTCTTCACAACGTGAAAGCGAAGTACAGTACAACCAAAGACAATATAAACACTAAGATGAGTAACGCTTCTAGCCTGGCCATTCATCTGGCCTTTCCCACTTCACACGACATGCTAGCCGCCGGCTATTCGTTCAGACGAACGAATACCGAAGTCGCTGATGCTGACATGAACAACAAAGTCGCTAGCCTGCCTTTAGCAAAGCTGTTCAACGGTACCTTGCGTCGCTTCGTTTTCGAAGTACATTGATCGAAAAAATTTTAAACTTACGATCGACGCATAGTACTTTTACTTTATCTATTATTGAAATGATACATTACCCTAGATACTAACGATGAATTTTACAGGAAAATTTAAGAATAATATAATTTTTTCACAAAGCGCACCTTGTGCAATAACTATGTTAGGGAAATAGCTCACAAAGATTGATTTCACTATTGTTTTTGGACAGTGTATGCTCGAGAGAAGTTTTTGTCTCAGCCAATGGCGTGCAAGCACCTATGTTTGTACGTGAGAATTATGCATGCATAACTACATCAAAATATGTATACATGTGTTGTTATTCAGTGCTCTGGCTTTGGATGGTAAAGAAATAAATTTTCTTCGCTTTCTAGCGCTGATCATGACCTATCCCAACTTTGTGTTGACATATTAATGCTTGTTGTGTACTGAGGTTGGTTCCGCGGAAAATCTGCATTTTAAAGTCGATGCAAATATTTAAATAAATTAAATTAATATGTTTTTTATTTTCGAATTAAGAAATAAGAGTGCTAAAATACAAATCAAATAATTATTTTTATAAATAAATATTGAGTATAAATAAATTTACACTCTTTTATTTCTTAATTTATTTTTTATTTCTTAAAAAAAATAATTTAATTTAAAGAAATTATATATATTTGCATAATTATATTATATTAATAATTATATTATATTTGCATCGACTTAAAAACGACTTTCAGACTTTCTACGGAGCCAAACTCAATACACAACATGCATTCAAATATGAATACAAATTTAGGAGAGATCATGATCACCGCTAGAAAACTAACAAAATTTATTTCTTTGCCAGCGAAAGCTAGAGCAGTGAAAAACAACACATTCAAATATGCTGGTTTGTATTAACACACATACAAACACAATTGCTTGCACGGCCCTCATAGAGCCTAAGCTGAGAGTGCATTATATTTCTAGCTTTTCCGCTCTTTCAGCTGTGAGAGCGCAATAATACTGATTTCGGTTTGTTCTCAATTTTCCAAAAATCAAGCTGCATAGTAGCATTTTGTTGTATGGCGTTACTCATCTTAGTGTTGGGTACAAGTAGTATTAGTATTGTCTTTGGTACAACTATATGAACCCTACACAAATATCTTCACAGATCTGCGGTAAGGTAGACCATCAAAACATTTATATTACGTAGCAGGCAAGAGAATAACTGAATCCATTGGCGAGGATTTAGTAACATTGAATTTTGAAGTCGCAAGGTCGTCCAATTAGAAAAATTGAGAAAAGATAGATTTAATAGCGTTCAGATGCGTAAAGATGCGTTTTTTTTTTAAATGAAGCAAAAGGATGCTTAGGGCCAGTATCAGTTGACGAGAATGAATCTAAGGATAGATGAAGGTAATAGGTGTTTCATGGATTCCTGGTAAACTTCTAATGGTAGTTTGTAATGCGAAACACGATGGAATAGCGCCCTGAATGTCTAAATACTAACACAAATTAAGCTCCACAAGGCCAAGGATCCGGAGATCCGACGCGTGTTTGGTCTGGCAGTTAGCCTAGCCAGACAGTTAGAATGCGCGACCTTTTATCGCTCGGACGTGCTAGAAATGCCTTAACATAAAATATCCCTTTTTAGCGTTGGAGTTTAAGAGCCTGACTTTGGTTTTTAAGGTAAGCCCGCTCCACGGCCTGAGGATCTAGTCTATTTTTCCCAGCTTTGTCCCAGCTGAGCCGCAGACCCTATTATCGTGGTCCTTCCACATAAGTCGCCTGTCCAGAGTCATATCTCATATCCTCCCGGAGACGGTCATTGAACTGCTGCTTGATGCTGGAAATGCGGTATATTCTGCATTTGTTACTGTCAGTATCCCGTGGGTGTTTAGATCTAGATGGGAAGATCCGCTACGTAGAAGTGTGAAGAACTGGCCCAAATACGCTATCAAATACATAGTTCAATATTTGTCTGAGATGACAATTTGTAGATAAATAAATCTCATTGTTACTGAACTTTAGATATATGTATAGATGAATTTTAAAATTAACTTTTCTGAATTACTAAAATATTAGCTTTAGCTTAAAAGATACCGGTTTTCAGCTTTGTCCCCCCAGTACACATCATAAACAAGAATTTGGCAAAGGTCGTGGTGACGCACGGAAACTAACAAAATTATTTGTTTGGCAGCCGTAGAAAAACATGCATATTTGGATTCACTTATAAGAAGGCGAAAAGAGACTTGGTTGGCGTTGTACTCGAAGAGCGAAAGCCTCACCAGAATTTTTGTTTCGCATTCAAATGTATGGTCGTTACATATTTTAGTATTTATATTGTCTTTGCCCATAGTATATCTATCTGAATTGTTTGCGTGTGCAGCATAGCAACATTTATGTGAAATACAAACAAACCAAGCAATTTAAAAAAAAAACTAATTCACAACATTTTAAATATACTTTTAGCGCAATGTCAGCTAAGTCTGAGTCAAATATGAATTTGTTAAATGTATACAAAGGACACTCAGATTTAAGTAATGAGCCGATGAGGAAACGTTCGTCATCGGCTAATGAAGCATCAAAGCCTATTAACGTTTTACAGAAACGACAAAATCAAACTGAAATAAGAAACAGTTTTTCTCCACAGTATAACAGTAAGTAAAATAATTTTTTCTTCATATGATTTTATTTGCAATTTTTTCATGAAATGTGCAACGTATATAAGATAACATCTCCGACGCCCACACCTTATACAGCTATGATGTTCGTCTATCCGCCCGTCCGTTTGACCGTTTCTATCGAAATTTTGAAGTTATAGTTATAGTCCGTTTTAAAATTTGGATCGCACTTATATATTATGAAGATGCCTTCAAAATAACGTTCGAAGAGTAGGTTCTTGCATGGAAAACGTTGTTAATTAAGATGTCTTGACCACATTTGGCATTTATTAGTTTCCGTATTCTCCTCCCACCCGCATGGCTCGAGTTTGTGTTCGATCATCGATAACGATTGCCGTTTCCAAACAATCGATAGAAATCGATATCGAAATATCTTTTTTCAGCAAATTTTTTAGACTTTAAGAGCTAGAGTAACCAATTTGAAATATAGCTTATATAATTATATATACAGATTAAGTATCTATCATTTCTTAGGTATCGCCACCCCTCGCCTTCGCCTTTTTTGTAATGTTAAAGCAAAGGAGTGCGTAGCGCTTCGGGTAGTTCGGCAGTCCCAACTAGTGCCCTCGGTTAGTTTCAATGTCAATTATACATATATCAGAATAATTGATCTATAGCCATTCAGGAAGAATTGGTAAAAAATGTTAAACAAAATATTTTTAGCAAACTCAGCATTTACGAGCGCAGTATTCTCACATGTATGCAAATCATTAAGGCAAATGTCTTCTTTAGTATTGAATCTTTGGTGTGCCGACTATACCCTTTCTTGTTTACTTTTACACTTTATTACATACAAAATTTAATATTAAATAAAGAAGTTTTATATTTTTACACATGTCGTGTTAAGGCTTATCTTATCATGTATGTAACATGCCAGTTATGATAATTTCTACGACTATTCGTAATAATAAAATACAATAATTAAAACATGAATATCAAAAAAAAAAGTACCAATAAAAATTGTCCCTTAATAGCTTATTTTTGTTGACTAAATTAGTATTCTTTGGCGGACCGCAGCCTTCGATTGCGTATCGTGGCTTTACGTAGCGTATGTGCTTCTGCTTTCCTTTAGCCACATACAAAATATGGAAAAGGAGATGATTATATTTGCCTTTATTCCAATCCTTTGTAAATTTGTAGGATCTGAATTAGGAATAAACAAATGATGATTATTAAAATTTTACAATGCGCATTAAAACATACCAAGTTTTGTGCAACTCATGGCCATGTTGTCTTCAATAAATCAAAGCAGATGAGAAAATTTAAATAAAAAATAGTTCAGTTAATATAGAAACAATAATCACTTCAAAACAAGGAAGCTCACCAACATCTACCTTCTCCTATTATTTCTTCTTGGTTATCAGTCACCGAAGGTTTTTACTGAAAAACAGCTGTAGATATTGTGATAATTAAGTGGAGACAAAGTGGATTTCTTGATATATTTGTTATATACATGTATATTCAAATTTAACTTTTTACTTTTTATTTACTTTTACGTCGGGTGATACGTATTTGCTTATTTTAAGAGGAGATTGATACTGTAAGCAACTTAGGAAATCCACAGAATAAGTAAAGAGAGCATCTACACACATAGACAAGGATTGGCCATTATGATGCCACACTTATATAATTTAGATAATTTAGATTGAGAGAGGAATACCAACTATATGCTCAACATTTTCATAAAATTTAGTCGTTACATAGAAATAACTAATTTCTTTAAACAAGTTCTCAATTTGATTTCTGTATACGTAAACTGTTTGATCTAACTGATTTGAGATCAACATACAGCCCAAACTTTAAGAGCTAGGAAGCTGAAATTCTCACAGTAGTTACCTTAGGGGGGTGAAGGTGAACGCCAACAAGAAATGGGAGATTCTACTCCTCAGCTGCAAAATCATTTTCAAAAAGCTTTGTAAAAATTAATTGGAGATGTGTTTCACAATTTTCACAAAATCCGCTCTCTTGGATGATAAATTCAAGTAAAAGGTTATAAGGGCGAAGTTTCGTTCATCGGCCTGAAACTTATTTTCTAAGCACTAGTAAATGTAATTTTTTTGTTTACAATCGGATAGGCTTGAACTTAAATTTCAAAGAGCTTTCTGAGAAAACGAGTTTCAAACTTTTGGTTTTTTATTCGATGATCTTTTAACATATTTTTAAATGGACTCCAATTTCCACGGATGGAAGCTGAGTGGGAAACTTATATTTAAATTACCCGATAGTATATTTATAAATCTTCAATACACTTTGCCCAAAAAACACGAATTCGATATCGATTTTGATCGATTAGCCCAAATTTTTATATTCTTGATCAGTATCAGCAGCCGAGTCGATATAGCCATATCCGTCTGTCCCATTGTCTGATTTATTTCGAACTAGTCACTCAGTTTTAAAGCTATCGTCATAAAGCTTTGCATACGTCCCTCTTTTTTGTTGCACGCAGTACATATGTCGGAACCGGCTAGATCGGACCACTATATCATACAGCTGCCATAGGAACGATCGGTCGAAAAGTAGGTTCTTGTATAAAAAACTTTTTTGTTTATCAACATATCTCGACCAAACTCGGCATTTAATAGTTGTACCATGCTCCCCATATATGTGCAAAATTTTCTCAACATCGACATCCTTTCAACATATCTGCCATAGCAAAGATCGGTCGAAAGTTAAGTTGTTCAATGAAATTTTTTTTTGTTTTTGAAGATATATTGACCAAACTTGGCAGTTAAAAGTTCCACTGTGCTTCCTACATATATAAAAATGTTCGAGTTACACAAAGTAACTTGGAAAACCAAGAAAAAGCCTTAGGATCAGGAAATTAAACAAAACCAAAATTCATATTCTCAATCTCAGTAAAAGAATATTTATAAAAGTTACAAGTTTTACTTCAGGCAACAAGTTCACTCTTTAAAAAATCAAGTTCAGATACTTATATCGACATCGACCAAAGCTGTATTACACAAATTACAGAAATTGGCAAAGTAAAAATAAATTCTATTGGAATATTATGTTAGATATCTACATTATACCTCATAATTCTCATAAACGGCACGATAAATTTTCAATATAATGTAAAGGAATTATCAGCGAGGATTTCCTCACGAAATACAGCTGCCTGTTACAACCACCTAAAAATTGGTTAATAGTCAGACCAAAAAATATTCTAACAAATATCCATATACAAGTCAGGCTTACGTGCGCAATCAATTCCACTCCAGCCCGTAAAAAAGTGATACAGCAAAATAAGATAAAATCATTTGAACAAGTTTTCATAATCAATCCAATCAAGGAATGTATTATTTTGTACATTAAAAAAATTCCTTAACAAATATCTAAATTTTTTAATAAACTATGTGCAGAATATACTGCCATTTTTGGACTAGAATAAGAAACAATTTCAACAAATTATATTTATAAATAAAGTTGAGACTAAAAGATGTATACATCAAGAGGGGAAAAGAGGAAAATAAAAAAATAAATGTAGATAAGTTAATACCCGAAAAATTCGTAGAACTGTCTGTATCAGAACACAACAGGCCTCTCTACCTGATTCGCAAGAAACGTTTAGGTTCCCCTGAAAAATATGGCGACTAGAAGTAGATTATCGTCAACTTAATAACAAAGTATTGGAAAAGAAGTTCCCACTTCTAAGGCTAGAAGATATTATTGATCAACTAGGTCGAGTAAAATATTTTTCATGTCTCAACCTAACGTCTGGATTTCATCAGATTGAACTTGATGAAGACTCTCGAAATATTACGTATTTTTCGATGAACAGTGGCTTCTATCGTTTCACGCGATTACCATACGGATTAGAAATAGCGCCCATCTCTTTCCAACGAATGATGAGAAAAGAATTTTTAGGTCTTAAACCCTCTCAAGCTTTTCTATATATAGATGACTTGAAAGTCATTGGTTGTTCCGAAAAACACATGATATAAAACCTAATAAATGTTTTTGATATGTGTCGGAAGCATAACCTCAAGCTACATCCAGAGATATACTCATTTTTCATGAACGATGTGACTTTTTGTCAGGTCACAAGTGTACTAACCCTCAAATGTTTCAAATGTGTATTAAAACATAGAAATAAAGTTATAGCAAAATCAATTCTTGAAACAGAGATCCGGTATAAGGAAGATTAGCCAACTCAAAGTGGCACAGAGCAAAAATATCTTTAAAAACACTTTATAACAAAAGATATTTTTAAAATTATGTTCAATAAATATTTAAAGAACTTAAGAGTAGCGATATTCAAGCCGGTGACCCAAAAATGTACAGATAAAGAAAAAGAAGCAATATTTTCTACATTCCACGATGATCCCATGCAATGAGGTCATACAGGCATTTCAAAGACCTAAAACATCACAGTACAGACTCTTTTTTTTACCTATTTCATACACGCGAAAAGTGTTTTAGAAAAAGTTCTAATCAACACAATTGGTCCTTTACCAAGTCAGAAAATGGTATATGCAGTGTATGCAGTCACGATTATTTGTGACTTATTAAAATATCTTGTTGGCAAACCTATTGCGAATAAAAGTGCAAAAAGCATCGTAAAAGCTATATTCGAAACCTTTATTCTCAAGTACGGTTTAATGAATGAGTACTTTATGGGCATGGTTACAGAATACAAGAACTCCATAATTAATCACTTTAAAAAATATTTAAAAATAAACAACATTACGTCTACTGCACACCATCACCAGACGTAAGGAACTGTGGAACGAAGGAAGTCGCAGAACCCTAAATGAATACATACGTTCATACATATCATTTATTAAAACTGATTGGGACGTATAGAATACGACCCCATAATTGGCACATGATAAGTGTCCATATACTAGTTTTTAGCAAAAAGCCAAACTTACCTAGATATTAAAATTGCATAGATAAAATAGAACCACTTTACAATATTGCAGATTACGCAAAGGTATCTAAATTGGAATTAGATCAAGCTTATAAGAGAAATT